AGGCTTTACTTGCCAGCGAAATAGTTTGGCTAACAATTCAAGGCGTCATTGAGTGGAAAAGTTGGAGTGAAAGATGGGTATTAAATATGGGATTCAAAAAGAGAATCTCGGAATGTAAGTCTTATGGAACGTATAAAACACGAATTTAAAATAAACATATTTTTGTATTTTGCTTAATTCGATAGAAAGTTTTTATTTATATCTGTAGGTTTCTGAGCCAAACCAACAAGTAATTTCAGGTGTACTTGGTATTTATTTCTCAAAGAAATTGTTTGATAGTGATATTCATTGTTTGCAATGGGTTCTACCTCCTTTGGCAGAAAGTCGGTTATATAGCTCAACATTCCACGATGTAACATACCTACCTCTATCCACGATGTAACATACCTACCCGAGTTCTGAATATTTTAGGCACATTATTATACCCTACACCACACTTTGTTTTGTGCATTTGTTTGTAACATGGAGAAAGAAGCGAGATAGACCCATAGCTACTTTTAAGGATCTTCATAGAATCACTTTCTAAGTCGATTTGTGCATTTCACTCCATCTGCCCGTCTGCCTGTGCATGTATTTTTGTAAACAAAATGCATGTCGCATTTATTATCCGAAATTGAGATGAAATTTTCCAAACATTTGTTTTGCTCATGGACGAACACTATTGAAATATCAGTCCAACTGGAGTGAATTGTGGCACTTCCGACGGAATTCAACCTAAAAGAAGGTGTTTCAAATTTTTGGTGAAGCTATACCGCTCAAAAATACCTTTAAGAAATGTTCGATATATATCTTCATCCGATTTACGGTTATTGCTCACAAATATCGGAAAGAGCATCAAATTTTAAAATAAGTTTAGATTTGTTCGAATTGGCCTCCTTTGGCACGAATTACGGCCTTCATACGGCCAATTAAACCGTCACACTCTGCCCGTATGTTTCTCTGCTGTATTTTGGCACATTCCCAGCGAAACGCTTGCTTGAGGTGACCTACACTTTTATATTTTTTACAGCTCAACCTTGCTTTCCAAAATACTCCAGACAGAATAGTCCAACGGATTGGTATCGGGAGATTTTAGTGGCCATTGTGCGCTGGAAATGATCTTGGGTGACACGTGCTGAGTGCGACGGTACTGAGTCCTGTTAGAATGTTTAAGGTCTGCTGCCAAAATGTTTGAGTGCTTTAATACACCCTCCAGAATATTTTCGCGATAATATTCGGCATTTATTCTGATGTCACGGTCGATTAATACGAGCGGAGAGTGACCATCGGCTGATATGGCGGCGCACTCCACAACCGTGGCCGACGCTTGAGCTCTGGTTGCCAACCGACGTTGCACAGTATGAGCTGACCTCTTTGGCAAGTAAACACGATAATTTTGCTTGTTTACAAACTTCTGGACAACGAATGTTTTCTCATCGGAGAAAACCGAATTCGGCAGTTCACCACCTTCGGCCAAGCGAAGTAACCCTTTAGCTCTTTTGAGCCTATTTTCTTCCTGTTGCGGTGTAAGTTTTTGCACTTTTAGGAATTTTAATGGCTTTACCCCGAGCTCATTTTTAAATATTTGCCGAATAGAATATTGCGATATGTTTAGCTGACTAGCCGTTTTCCGGCCACTGTGACGCGGGTTTCGATCAAGTCGCTTCTTTATTTTTCGAACCATGTTATGTTGCTGTTTTCTGCCGTTCACTTTCTTGACGTCGGGCTACGCTACTAGTATCACGGTAACGAGCGATGGTACGAGACACAAAAGATTTATTCACATTTAAATGCTGGAGTACTCTAGCGATAGCCACTTGTGGTTTTCCAGCCAAATATAAAGAAATCACACTATCACGCTTGAATTCCATCATGAATAACTCTTTTCTGGAAAATGCTCACCAAAGTGCTTTTGTACGCTTGTAAACAATATAAAGAGCTGTCACTGGAATAATTTTAACAACTGTCGGACAAGTGGTCTATCGGTGGATACGGTCTAAAATTGGATGCAGTTTTTTCATCTCTCCCTGTATATGTAATATCCACCCAAATTGAGTAGAATTTTTCATATTCAACCGAATTTCACCATTTACTGAAACTTGCTCAGGTATATCTATTGTTCCAATAAATATATTATAATATTATCCTTATCGAAGTCATATCATGGTTCATATTTCGTATGATCTACTTCACATAAATTCCCAATATAAATATTTTTGTTACGGAAGTTCTACTGAATACCCATAGAGGTGTAGGGTATCATATCGTCGGCCTCGTCCGACTTCTCACATTTCCTTACTGGTTCAATATGATTGTTTTAAATTTGAAATTTGCTAACAACCAAAATAACGTATTATCATTTGCAATTCTTAAATTTCCAAGATCTCAAAAATGTATTTTTGAAAGTGTTATTTCCAAATGGTGGAGTGAATATAAAGATCAGGCCTTGGAAATCGGAGGAAAATCCGATTTAATATTCATCCGATTAAATATTTAAGACCCCCATCTTTAATTACCACTCTATTACAATTATATTCAGCACAATATATCAAATACAGCCTTGAAATAAGTTCTAATTTTTTTTTTTTTTTTTTTTTTTTTTTGGAGAACGGTCTAAATTTTGATATAGCTCCATATTTCCCTCCGATTTCAATTTTCTTTCGTCCACTTCCTTGACGTCGGTCTACGCTACCAGTATCATGGTAACGAGCGATGCTACGAGACAAAAAAATTCACATTTAAATGCTGGAGTGCTCCAACGATACCCGCTTGTGGTTTTCCAGCCAAATATAAAAAAATCGCACTATCACGCTTGAATTCCATCACGAATAACTTTTTTTCTGAAAATTCTCACCAAAATGCTTTTGTACGCTTGTGAACAATATAATGAGCTGTCACTGGAATAATTTTAACAGCTGTCGAACAATTGGCTTAGAAATGACAGCGGTCTGAAATTTTTTGCAGTTTTTTATCTCACCCCGTATACCCTCTATATAATTTCATACGGCCAAAACGTGATTCATTGGAATAACGTTTTTATACCCTAGGTCTCTTTGGAACAAATCCGTTTCAGGACTTTTGGAGTAGATCTAGTCCGTCCGTTGGTCTGTCTGGCTGGTGCGCACGATAACTCTCGAAGGGAATAATCGATTTGATCGAAACTTGGTATATCGTAATATTATTGTCAAACTTAGATCGAGTTTGGATATTGGCATTATCCGTCAACTCTTTCTGGTACCTCCCCCTCAAAAGGTCAAAATCTTCAAATTAAATATTTTTACGTATAGAACGAGAAAGGATCATTTAATTTTGTGCAAACTTTACAAATCCCAATAATATCATCAGTATTAGGTACGACTAATCATAACGCAAAGCTAGGAATATTTGGGGACATAACAAAAGTTGTTTGGCCCAAGGACAAACCCTTCTAAAACTGGTGCGAATCGGTTAAAATTTACGTATAGCTCCCATATATTTTTTCAATCGATTGTGTGCACCAAATGACCAGTATCAGCCCAAAATGACCTGAATTTTGGTACATCCGACCGAATTCAGTCTAAAAGCAAGTACATCAAATTTGGAGAAAATCGGTCCAGGTATAACTATAGCTCCCATACATATGTTTCATCATATTTGGGTTTTTAAGTCTCTGACAAGAGTAATATGCACTACGCAATAATTATATTTGATACCGGGCTTCGAAAACACCTCTACCAAATTTTATCGAGATCGGTTCAGATTTTTATATAGCTTCGATATACATCTTCATCCGATTTTATAGCTATTGTTCTCCATATACAGGATGAGATTAAAAAAATGAAAGCCACTTCAGAATGCTGTAATTTCTACGCCACTCGTCCGACATATATTAAAATTATTCCAGTGACAGTTAATTATATGGTTTACAAGCGTACGAAAGCATTTTGGTGAGAATTTTCCCGAAAAAAAATTATTTGTAATGGAATTCAAGCGTGATTTCTTTATATTTGGTTGGAAAACCACAAGTGGAGCACGTTAGAGCACTCCAGTACTTAAATGTGAATAAATATTTTGTGTCTCGTACCATCGCTCGTTACCGTAATACGTAAAAATGAACTCGGGGTAAAGCCATTGAAGTTCCAAAAAGTGCAAGAACTTACACCACAACAGAAAGAAAATGGACTCAAGAGAGCTAAAGAGTTGCTTGGCCGAAAGTGGTAAATTGCCAAATTTGGTTTTCTTCGATGAGAAAACATGTTTACTTGCCAAAGAGGTTAGCTGAAAATGTGAACCTTCGGTTGGCCACCAGAACGCAAGCGCCGGCCATTGTGATAATGTGGGCCGCCATAACAGCCGATGGTCGCACTCTGCTCGTTTTAATCTACAGTGGCATCAGAATAACTGCCGAATATTATCGCGATAATATTCTGGAGGGCGAATTAAAGCCTTTGGCACGCAAACATTTTGGCCGCAGACCTTGGGCACTCCAATAGGACTCGGCACGCGCCACTCAAGAATGGTTACAAAATAAAGCTCCTCGCTTCATTTCCAGCGCACAATGGTCACCAAAATCAACGGATACCAATCCATTGGACTACTGTGTCTGGAGTTTTTTGGAAAGCAAGGTTGGCATAAAAAATACAAATAAAGTGTCGATCACCTCAAGCAAGCGCTTCGCCGGGAATGGGTCAAAATACGGCAGAGCAACATTCGGGCAGCGTGTGACGGTTTCATTGGCCGTTTGAAGGCCATAATTCGTGTTAAAGGTGACCAATTCGAACAAATCGAAACTTATTCTAAAATTTGATGCTATTTCCGACATTGTCTGCTTTCATTCAATAAAATAAAAAATGTAAAAATTATGGCGTTTGATTTTGTTGCAGTTTTTTATCTCACACTGTAGTCTGTCCCGCCCTACTGTTGACCTTTCCTTATTGGTTAGCGGTCAGGACAGTTAAAAATAGATCATCATGTGATTATTTGTTGAATAATTGGTTTTATAAATTTATTTATTTTTTTCATAATATAACAACCAAGCCGCATTAGGTCATAAACTAAATTATACAAACTCTTAAATGTCTTACCATATAATTCCCTAACAATTTTAAAAACATCAACGTGTTAAATAACTATCAATATTTATGAAAATATGTGGATAAGTTCATTCGATAGAATCGAATATTATCAAATATACGGGTAACCGAGCCTCTAACCCACGGAAAAGATATTTCTACATAATTAGGGTAAAAATACCTATATTTTATAAAAATAATAAATAAATAAAGTTCAAGTGATCCGATCCTTTCTTTCCATAAATTCATTATTATCCTAAATTTTTCAATAATAGTAAGAGGATGGTTTTTATACAAGCAATCATTTAAAGGCAGTATCCGGCGATTTCATTCAATGTACAACCTTTTCGACAGCATTCATCATAGACTCCATTCAAATGACGTTGTCTGCGAGTCTTGGCTAGACCATTCAATCCCTCGCCAGACAACATATCACTGAGCAGGGAACTGGATTTAGGGTGTGCCTCATTGTCGATTTCATTTGATCCAATTACATCCAATAATCCATGATGAACTGCAAGGAAAAAGTGTGTTAGACTTGTTTTACCTTACCAAAATTTTCATTATCTTACGTAGTCGTCCCATGGACTTTTTACTCATCTGCATGCCATAGAAACCATCTACACACACAGCGTCCAGAATCTGAACCAAATTTTGGCCACAGAAACGAGTTGCTGCCGATTGAATTTCATAGCAAAGGGCCAAAAATACCAGAGCACCAAGAAGTTTCATTGCAGCAATTTTTTTTTTCGTTAGATCCAATTCCTGTAACGCACTGCAGCCAAATGTGATTGTAAATCATTTTCCATTCAATATTTATAGTAATTTATAATGAAATCTGTGTATGTATTCCGATAAAAATAGACCATACAACAAATTGTATTTACATGTAATCATAATGTAGTGTAGCTTGTCTTATAGGTAACTCACATGCAAACACATACGATGACGTAAAATTGTATTCAAATTGACTTAATTTTGCCTACCTTGGTATGATTTAAACTAATTTATATTCCGTCCAAACCTCAACTCTTAAGTTTTGAGATTAAAGAAATATTAATATCAATGTATGTATGGGTAGCGGCGTCATAAATTTGGATCCTTCTTCTAAGTAATACAATACATGACTGAACTTCAACAAAGTATTATATATAAATCGATGGGTTGTGTCTGTACGTCCGTCCACATGTCCTTGCACAATTGCAATCTCTCTGCAGATCACAATTATGGTCCAATCATATTGAAATTGTAAATGCCGTTAGGCCTTACTTAAAATGAAAGCCTCTAATTTTTAAAGATGACAGCAAAATAGTTAGATGAGCAACTTTCTCCTCAGCCTTTATAGAGGTCATAAGTATGGACCAATCTATGCTGAATTTTAATGGCCAGAGGGCTATTTGGATGGAATAACTTTTAAATTTTCAACTATTTTCAGTCCTAAAATTTATTTCCCAAGAAGACAACAATACATGGAAGTACAGGGTTGTCCATATTCGACGGACCCATCTGGCAACGCCATAACTTTTGACAGAGATGTCATATCGCTTAATGACATACCGCGTTTGAAGCGTCAGTCCAAGCAGATTTTTACCATGAACCAATACACGCCACGCGAAATAGTTGAAATTTACATTCACAGAAGAAGTCAATTGTGAAAACTCAACGTGATTTTAAAACATTAAAAAATGTGAGAAGTGCGCCTTCTAAGAACACCATTAAGCGTTTATACGAAAAATTTTCGACTGGTAAGGCTCTTTCTAATCCGAAGAGTCCATATAAAAGTCGACCAAGGCGATCGGCGAGATTATCGTACCGTACGAGCCAGTGTTGAGATGTCCCCAAGAACATCCCAAAAACACCGTTCTTAGCAGTTGGGCATGGCTCGGTCCACTTTACAACGGATTATTCGCATTGATTTGCATTTGTTCCCGTACAAAATTCAATTGACGCAAAGAATGTTGCCTGCGGACAAGCCTCGTCGATTGGAATGGGCCCAAAGAGTCATGGGTCCGTCGAATATGGGCAACCCTGTATAGCAAAATATATATACCCTCAGTCATATAACTAGAGAGGGTACATATCATTTGATACGGCCAAAACGTGCCCCAAAAACCCTAGGTCGCTTTGGACCAACTCCGTTTCAGAACATTTGGAGTCGATTCAGAGGTCTCCATCGTGGTGCTCACGATAACTGTCGAAGGGAGTATCCGATTTGTTCCAACATTGGTACATCTTAATATTATTATCAAATTTAGGTTAAGTTCGGAGATGGGCAATATCGGTAAACACCTTCTAGAACATCCCCCACAAAAGGTCGAAATTATCAAAAAAATATTTTACTGCACAGAAAGAGGAAGGAGAATCCGATTATGCTCCAACTGGGCAATAGCCAATATTTTAAATAATTACGTCCCCCACATAGGGATAAAATTTTGAATAATTGTATAAAATGTGAGTCTGATTGCCTTCAAATTATGCATATCTCAATATTTTTATTAACCCAAGGTCTGTGTGATGGAATATATCGGTCCACTCCATTTGGTACTTCCCCCATTAAGGGTCAAAGTTTTGAATAACCCACATAACAATCCTGTGCTCTTCATATTTTGGACATCCCATGATTTCTACTAACACAAGATTTGCTGTGAAGATGGAATATATCTGTCTACTCCTCCAGGTACCTCCCCCACAAATAGTAGAAATTTTGAATGTCAGTGAAGCTCATACAACGCGAAATTCAAGCATTCAAGCGTGATAGTGTGATTTCTCTATATTTGGCTGGAAAACCACAAGTGGTTATCGTTAGAGTACTCCAGCATTTAAATGTGAATAAATCTTTTGTGTCTCATACCATCGCTCGTTACCGTGATACTGGTAGCGTGGGCGGACGTCAAGGAAGTGGACGGAAGAAAACAACAACATCAGCAGAAATGGTTCGAAAAGTAAAGAAGCGACTTGATCGAAACCCGTGTCGTAGTGCCCAAAAAACGGCTCGTGAGCTGAACATATTGCAATATTCCATTCGGCAAATATTGAAAAAGAGCTCGGGGTAAAGCCATTGAAATTCCAAAAAGTGCAAGAACTTACACCGCAACAGAAAGAAAATAAACTCAAAGGAGCTAAAGAGTTGCTTCGCTTGGCCGAAAGTGGTGAACTGCCGAATTTGGTTTTCTCCGATGAAAAAACATTCGTTGTCCAGCAGTGATCGTGTTTACTTGCCAATGAGGTCAGCTGAAAATTTGCACCTTTGGTTGGAACCCAGAACTCAAGCGCCGGCAATGGTGATGGTGTGGGCCGCCATAACAACCGATGGTTGCCTCCGCTCCGAATACCGAATATTATCGCGAAAATATTCTGGAGGGTGTATTAAAGCCTTGGATACGCAAACATTTTGGCCGCAGGCCGTGGACATTCCAACAAGACTTCACCATCGCACTCAGTACGCGCCACCCAAGAATGGTTACAAAATGAGGTTCATGCGCACAATGGCCACCAAAATCTCCGGATACCAATACGTTGGACCACTGCGACGCAGGTTTTGATCAAGTCGCTTCTTTACTTTTCGATCCATTTCTGCTGATGTTGCTGTTTTCTTCCGTCCACTTCCTTGACGTCGGTCTACGCTACCAGTATCACCGTAACGAGCGATGGTACGAGACACAAAAATTTATTCACATTTAAATGCTGGAGTGATCTAACGACAGTCACTTGTGGTTTTCCAGGCAAATATAAGGAAATCACACTATCATGCATAAATTCCACCACGAATAACTTTTTTTCTGGAAAATTCTCACCAAAATGCTTTTGCACGCTTGTAAACAATATAATGAGATTTCTCTGGAATAATTTTAAGAGCTGTCGGCAAGTGGCTTAGAAATGATAGCAGTTATAATGGAAATCATCAAACTGAACATGACAGATACAAACGATTAGCTGTCAAAGCCAAAATAAAATACGAACAAGTTAAAAAGCAGTAAGTTCGGCGGGCCGAACTTTGAATATCCTCCACCATTTTGAACGAATCTGGACATTTTCAAAAAATAAAATCCGTTATAAATTCTGTTAAAATCATAAAAATGCCGAATACAGGGTCTATACGACGTGGAACTACACAGACAATTTTCTGTCTTAGGTTGTAGTATCCATTACGAACTTCAAATGCCAAATTTGAAACAATTCCGGTGAGTAATGTAGCTAAAATCATCAAAATACCGAATATCGGGAGGTACCGTTATATGGGGGCTATATGAAAACGTGGACCTATATGACCCATTTACGAACTTAACCTGCCTACTGGCAAAATAAACATGTGTGCAAAATTTTAGCCTTCTATCTCAATTCGTTCCAAAGATAACGTGATTACAACGGACACGGACAGACAGAAAGACAGACAGACACACAGACAGACGGGCATGGCTAAATCGACTTAGGATTTTACGCTGAGCAAGAATATATATACTATACTTGGGTCTGACATAAGTATTTCGAGGAGTATCATTTACTATGGCGGGGTTCCGCTTATACTAGCCTACAAAATATGAGTAATGTTTATATGTAAACAAAACTGTCACAGCACACAACAATTGTCATTCAGATTAGACAATTACAAGATAATGGATGTAAAAATTAATAAGGTATTAGTAAGTTTTAGCCTATTGCCGTTTCTTCAAATACATAATTCATGCAACCTCTTTTGAACTCACGTACAATCATTTATACATCCACTAATACATTAATAATGGCACCACCACATAACACCAAATATTTGCCAAGAGGAACAAAGGTATCCCGGCGGATGCTAAATAGCTTACGTAGAATGTAATGGAAAATGGAAAATGCTTTCGGCGGCGCAATTGCGAAAACCACTTTGATAAACTCCAATGCAAAGCGTGGTATTAATATTTTGCTGTTAAATGGGTTGAATTGGGGAGGACGTGGTAGTAAAATAGAAGAACAACAGGCTTTACAATAGTTCCATTTTACATGTAAGGAGATCAGCTTAAAATAAATCTCCTGTTGCCTACTGGAAGGAATTTTTTGTTTTCATTTGGTTGTTCGGCGAAAAAAACATATACACTGGTGGCCAAAACTAAAGCAACTGAAATTACAGGGAGAATGAATGCCCTGTAACTTTTTAAAAATTAAGAAAATGAGAAAGTTTTTCTTGTTTTAAATTAGGTATTTTATTCACTTTCTAAAAACCTAAAACAAAAAACCAAAATTCATTTTTATATAAAAATTAATGTATGGTAAAGTCAATTAACCCGATTTTGGCTTGGACAAAACAAAAGCAACTCTGTTGTACATTCATATGATCGCTGCAATTTCAGTTGTTTTTATACCCTACAACCCTATGTGTTGGGGGTATTATAAGTTTGATTGGGCCAGAATTTATGTAACACCTCGAAATATTGGTTTCCCATATAGGAAAGTATATATGGATCTTCCTAGCTCGCCGAGCTGAGTCGATCTAGCTATGTATGTCCGTCCGTCTGTCCGTCTGTCCGTCTGTCCATGTTAATTTGTAATCACTCTACAGGTCGCAATTATGGCCCGATCTTCACGAAATTTAAAATGTAGGTGGGGTTAATGTCAGAATAGAACCCTATTTCTTTTGGAGATTATCGCTAAATGTTTAGGGGTCGAAATGGACCAAATACTGAAAAAAATGTCGGATTTTGCAGTAGCTATACAGGTCGCAATTATAGACCAATCGACCCGGAATTTCGCATGTAGCTAGAGTTTAGGGCGGGGAAGAAGCCTACCAATT